AAAGCGGGAGACGAAAGCCAAACAATAGCCATACCTTAAACATAGGTGAGGTGAGCAGCAGAGCAAAAGGAGGAAGCTTGGACTGAGTACATATGTGTGTGTGTGTGTGGCTGTGTGTGTGTTCGTGTATGTGTATAAATTGAAAAGCAAACCACAAAATGTGGACTTACAAAGCTTCATAACTACAACGGGTATTCAAAAACAACAACAACAACAACAACAATGTTGGTTTGCTTGCTGTAAAAGGCTAAAGCATATAGTGCACATAATGGCCAACAACTAAAACAACTATAATACGAGCAACAACAACAACAGAAGCCCAAACAACGCTGGGTTGTTGGATATGCAAATACAATAATTATTTTAAATTGCAAGCAAAAATATTTGCGCATTTGTAATTGGCGGCAGGCAGCAACGTTTGCTGAGTGCATAAAAAAATATAGCAGCAACTACAACAACAACAATAACAACAACAACAAGAGAAATGTACTAGTTTCCCATATTTTCAACAAATTCTTTTTTCCTGCTGTGCGCTGAAAAGTGTGCTAGGAAAATACGGGCCACTCCCCCAACGCCCGCAAACAGCCGGCGCCATTGTCTGGCCGCATTAGCACTTGGACCAACGCACCGACAACAACAACAACAACAACAACAACAACAGCAGCTGCAACCCAAAACACAACAAAACATTTCACTTCCTGCGCCGGTGAGAACTTAATGAAAAAAAAAAAAGGAGAGTGTGATAGAGGAGCAGAAAAAACAACAAAACTTGAACAAAAGACAAGCGACAAAGAAACACTGTGCAACGCAGGCAGGTGGCAACGCAGGCAGGTGACTACGGCTCAAGCTGCTCGGGGTATATTTTGCTTGAGAACGATGATGCATTCAACAGCTTGGAAGTAATATAGACCCCGAACAAAAACACAGCCCAACACAATCAACAATTGACCAAAAACGAAGGAAATAACAGAAAAACTCAGCTGAAGTGAAGGGGCGACGAAAATATGAGTAAAAAATGTAGAAAAAGAAAATCAACTTGAAACTGAAGTGTAGAGAAAAATACCCTAGTTAAAGCAAATAGGCACGCATATAACTTAAATATACATATATTTTTAAGAATTAAGAAATTTAATTTAAATAAAGTTGAATTCTCACATCAAAGTTTTTGGATAAATTATGATTATTATTATTATTATATTTTAAAATTATTTTTATTTATTTGTATTTTTTTTTTATTTTTTTATTATTATTTTCTTTTATATCCCAATTAATTACGAAAGCCAATTATAGCTCAGAAAAAAATAAATATTTATTAAAGATATTTATCAAATACCCATTCATAGCTGGTTATTTATACACAAAGTCATTCTACCCTTTGCAGCAACATAGCTCATAGGGTATAGAAAGCTCATCGTTTCTGCGTCTGCAACTAAAATCCTTTTGAGCACAAAATATGAGTGCTTGATTCGCACTAATGCAGCTCCTTGAATCAATTATCACAGCCAAAGGACACTTAATTGGTTGTCTGCGTGCTTTATCCTCTCGTTTACGTATTTATGTTTGTTCTTTAAATCAATTGGCGCAAGTGGCAAAGTTTTTAGCTCTTAATGTTTCCATCAATCAGTAAGATGGGGCCAGCTACTTTTGGGTCCTTTCTATGCCCCATTATATTGAATACCATCAATAACAATAATTTTCATAAATATGATAAGGCATAAATCACAAAGTAGCAGAAGCAGGACCTCGCTGCACCCAGCTAGCTCTATGATGGTGGTCTGTCACTTGGTCATGCGAGGCACGCACGCCTCAGCGAATAATGCGGCTGCCGTGGATTGTGAGCAGAGAGCCAGAGCCAGGGCCAGGGCAGCTAAGCAGAGAGCTTCCTGCAGACCAGACCAGACCAAGCCAGACCAGGCCAGACACAAGCAGACCCGGACAGACAGGACAGGCGGCACTCACAGGACGTCGGAGACGCAGACGTAGCACATAGAACACGCAGGACGTCTGGTGACGCCGTCACGCGGCGCTGTCATAGCGTAATAAAAATAAAAATCTAATTAGTATGCCGTTGACAGTTTAATCGTGATTACGCTGGCAAAAATTCCAAAAACCCAAGCACAGAAAAAAACAGCAAGAAGTGTACGACAAAGTGTAGGGGAAAGCGTGGGGGAGGGGGAAAATACTGGAAGTTGATGAGGAGACAGAGTTTTGGGAGGCAAAGAGAATCGTCAACATGCCAACAGTTGATTTTTGTTGTTCGGGCTTTCGGAACGTTGTGCCTGGCATTTCCGGCAGTCGTCGCCAACGTTGCGTGCCTGCCACAACAACAAGATGTGTGTGTGTGTGTGTGTATGAGTGTGTGCGTGTTACTGTGTGTCAAAAGTTTAGTGCTGGGCAACAAGCGCAAAGGCGCCTAAATGAGCCACCACAGCCAGTAAAAGACTAAGCGAAATAGCCCCAACAAAAATAATAAGCCAAACCAGACGAGGGGCGAACCGCCAGTATTTGGAGGAGATGAACAAAGTACATAGATAAAAAAATTTAATAAAATGTATGACATCAATAATTAAAATTGGTAAATAATTTTAAAGCAAGGCAATAGAATAAGAAAACAAAAATCAAATAAAAAGACCCAAAAGAGAAAAAAAAGTATAAGAAAAAAGTAAATAAATAATAATAAAAATAAATATATATTAAATAATAAATATTAAAAATAAATATAAGTAGTTTTTATAATTCATAAACATTTAAATCTGTTCAACAAAATGTTTTAAAATGAAATAAAATATAATAAAATGATAATTGAATTTTTATTTAAAATGTAATAATAAAAAATAAAAATAAACAATACATTAAACGATAAAATTAATTGCTTATCAAAATCTAAAAATCAACAAAAAATAAATTTTAAAAAAATTCTAAAAAATTCATTAAAATATCAATTTAAAAAAATTAAATATAAATTGCAAGTGCCAAAAATTTAAAGGTTGAATAAATAATAAATATTAAATCTAAATATGGAGAATACAAAATTAATTAGACTTAATAAAAAGTCTTTGAATTAAATTGGAGTTACAAATCTATAAAATTTTAATATTTATTCAATCATTTAAAATAATTGTAAATATTTTATCTAAAAAAAAAAAAAAAAAATACCTTAATAAAAATAGATGAAAGCTAAAAGTTTTTTTTTAATGAAAGAGTACATAGATTATTTATTTTTAGCATTATTTAAAAACAAATATTTAAATCTGAATCTTTGCCAAACTAAGAATGACAAATAGACTTGATAACATTAAGGCATCTGGTTGCATATGTGACATATAGTATTAAATTTTCTAGTGCTATTTAAAAATTCGTAAAATGTATTCAATCCATGACACGTTCAAAATATTTTATTTCTCTTTTATTTTATTTTATTTTATTTTTTTTTTTTAGAAATTTGCACAAGTTGTGAATGTAACCTCGCGTATAATTTTTGTGTGTGCCACATACGCGTGACGTAGCTTACACTTCTACACCCCCACACACACATACACACACACACTCATGCCATAACACCCACCAACCAGCGGCCCGATCTTAGTTGGCCATTGAAATGCGTGCCTAGTGAAGGATACGCGCGACGTGATTGAAATTTTGAAACAGGCTACGTTGTTAGGCTTTACTGTGTGCAAGTAGTGTGTGTGCGTGTGTATGTGTGTGTATTACGGCTGTCTAAAAAATATGACCAACTTGCTGGCACGTCGCATGGCCGCATGTCTGTCAAAGACGCAACAGAGTCAAAATCAAGCTGTTGTATTATGGCATTGGCCCAGACCGGAAACGGAAGTCGCTTTGATGAATTGCCTACCAGTAAAAAAAAGAAAAAACAAGCAACACGGCCAACCCCCAGTAAGCAACACCCTCGATGCACTTGTGTCGTGCCAAAAACATTCACAGAGGCGACATTCAAGTTGAGCGTTGTTAAGCAACGCTTTAAGAAAAACTTGCATAAAGACTTCTATACATATATAAATAAAAGAAAGTTAGTCGTTAGGCAGCGTAGCGGAAATGTAAAACGTTATTAAAGTCACCCGGAAATGCAGACAAAGCGACAGCGCGCTGCAACAAGCATTTTGCCTAAAGTGTCAGACGGCGTCGAGCGGCAGAAGCTGAAAAACTGAACTGAAATGAACTCAAGTGAAATGCGCCAGTCGAGGAGCGCGGAGGCGTGGCAACTGGAATATCCCATTGCATTAAATTACAATTTTCTGACCAAAAAAAAAAAGTATGCAGGAAAATAATAATAAAAAGTTTTTATGAATAGCAAACACTGACAAAAGGGGCTTAAAAAAAAAAACGCTTATTCAGCTGAACAATGGCATTGCGCAGTGTTGGAAAATCATAAAAGCCCGCAGAAAGCAATCGAAATCGAGCAAAATATGAAAAATCAAATGGCGAGTGCGCGAATTACCTGAGCATTACAATAAGCCAACAATCGAATAGAATTTGAGTAGCTAAATTGTGAGCAGTATAAATTAATTGAACTAAAATGTGATGTGAAAGCATGTGTTATTAGCAGATAAATATTCATCTGGGAATTTTCTCCACCATTTTTTTTAAATTTTTATTTTTTTTTTTATAAAAAGTTGAATGTTAATTAGAGAATTAGTAATTCTCATTTTCATTTAGCAACACTGATTAATTTGCGGCTTTTCATAGTTGCCAGCGTTTGTTTTTTGGAGTGTTGCATATACCAAAACGTTGAGGTTGTTTATGACATTTACTGTGGTTACTGCAGTTTCCAGTGGCGGATGTGGCAAATTGTGCAGCAGCACCACCACCAACAGCAGCAATCTAGATAGACCACAATATTACGAAACCACAAATATGTGACCCAGAGAACCAATTAGTGCATATGAATTTGCACAGTTAATTGCTTAGAGCGGAGAGAGACAGAAAGAGAATAAAAGAGAGAGACGGAGAGAGAGAGCTGAATGCTCAGCTCGTTAACTCACCTGGCAGAGTTGTTAGGCAGGCCACGCAGATGATGAATACCTGACAGAGTTTCATTGCTCTCCAATGCGATTAACGGATTAAACGTTTATTATTTATTTATGTATTTATAAGTTGTTGAACTAGTTTTTGTTTTAGTTTTTGCTGTTACTCTTTATATATATATATATATGTATACATGTTATCCCGTTATTAGCCGCAACGATTTGCAGCCATATATGCGCACAATATCCGTTTGTTAAAACCGCAGAAATCAATTTTTACATTTGCAATCTCTTGTTTTTGTTTTCCACCCCCTCTATTTTTTTTTCTATCGGGCTTTTAGCCCGTTTTCTCTCTGCCCACAATCGCAATTTCCTTTTTTCCCTTTGATTATTTTCTCTCTTTTTTTCCAGTCGGTTTTCTATTTTGCGGTCGCATTTAATGCATATTTTCATATGAGTTTTGACATTGCCTTTGCTGGATTCTGTTTTGCGTTTTACTTCAATTTTTGCCAATTTTGTATACGTTTTTTTCTTATTTTTTCAACCACAATTAGCCATCTACAGCACAGTGGCTCGTGTACGTGTTCGTACGGGGTTTGGCTGGTGTAAATACGTTTGAGGTTAGCTGAATTGTGAATTCTGCATTGAGCTCGATTTGGTTATTTACATTTTTCATATCCTTTTTACCGGTTTTGCATATTCATTTCCGGTCTGCACTAGCTTCCTCTATATGCCGTTAAGCGGAAGGACTTTCCTTCTTCTCCTTTTGTATGATTTTCCTCATATGATTTCACTCTTCTCAGCTGCCAATCACATCAGATCATGTGAGCATAGCCAGGGACAATCAGAGTTTTCATCAGCTGAAAGCATTTGAGAATTAAATATTTTAAATAGAGCATAAAAAAATAATATATTTTGATAATAGTTTGTATGATAAATATAAATGGGTATAAAATATAAAAAAAATTTTAATATTAAAATTATGTAAATTCGTTCTTTTATTAATTATTATTATTATTTTTATTTATTATATTTTTATTTCATAAGTTAAAAATTAAAATTAGTCAATATTTCTTAATATTTTTTTACTATACAATTATAAATTATTTTTTAAATTTAAATATAAGATTTATTATTAATGTATTTTATGTTGCTACTATTTTTACTATTTTTTTCAAAAATAATTATTAATATTTCAGTAATTATTATTATATATGATTTTCCATTCTTTTCTTTCAAAAATAAAAGTAAATAAATTAATGCAAGAAAAGAAAAAAATGATATCAGGAATTTTTATTACTAATATATATGTATTTATTACAGATAATAAGAGTTCAGATCATAAAAAATCGTTTAATTTTCCTTTAAAATTCACAATGTTTACAAATATTAAATATTAAAACACATTTTGCACATATAATTCAATGGAAATTCATTTGGAGCCATAAAAATTTATGACATCCATTCCACATTCAGTCTGTCTAATAAATCCAATCATCTCAACCAGTCAAACTCATAAATCCTCATAAATCATTGGTAGAGTCTTTAAGCTGCACAGTCTTAGCATAACCCGGGCCAAAATAAGAGCAGATCAAAAAGAGCAGAGGAAGAACACGCTGCACACATTTTCCGACCGATTTCCAAAACCCAAATGTTGCCCATTAGCAAACCAAAATACGCAATGCACAGGCAAAGCTCCTGCCGAATTGTTAAACTTCAACTCCATCATTCGCAGTCACGGAGTCGAGCCTTAAAGTCACGCCCCTTGGGCTGGATTTGTAGTGGGGTGAGTGGGCAACTCCCTCTTGGCTGACTTTACATTTCAAATTGGCAAAATCGAAGCCATGAAATTGTACAACACGATTCTCGCATATCGTACATGACACCATTTGCCCAATGATATGGCAACGGCTTTTCGCTCTCAGTTCTGTTCACTTCAATTCAGTTCAGTTCGGTTCAGCTCCACCCCCAACCATACCTAAGGGGGATTGGGGCCAGGACTGGCTGGCTTCTTAGCACATGCCGTCATGCCCAAAAATTCACTTATGGAAATCGAAGAATCTCGTTCGCCAGCTTTTGTTTCCAGGCAGCGACAGTTCGCGACCCAACTGCAAACTAAACTCATATGAAGTATCAGCATTCGGTATTCAATGTAAATCCTTTAAGCTCCAAATGCGCTTGAGAATACACCGTGAATACACACAACCACACACACACACACACAGGCCCACACCCTAAGTATTTGTGCTTCTGATTGAAAAGTGAAAAGTGACTGTGTGAATGCTTCTGCCAGCAGATTCCCAGCTGCTACTCTGTGTGTTAGACTTCCTTTTCCTTTATATATATTTTTGGTGTGTGTTTTATAGCTCCTTGAGTTATTAGCCATATAAGTACTAGTATTATTTAGAACGGTTGATTTATTCATATTTTTATTTGTACTTTATTTGCTTGAGCAGAGTTTTTAAAGTCAAGTTCGCTTCCCTTTGTGTATTTATTTATTTTTTAAATTTTATTTTATCTCTTTTGCTCTCAAGTCGTAAGCACCAAGAAACAAGATGTTGGTTCAATTATAACTTCTAGCTATTATAAGAATCCAAAGAATATTTCACGCGTGGTTTATTATTTCTTACTTGTCCGAGAAAGATTTTTTTTTTATTATTTATTTTATTTGTATTATAATGATAATATTTACAAAAATCTTTTTTGTGATTTCTTTCCATTAATATAGTTATATTTATATATTATTATTATTTTTATAATTAATATTTATTATGGTTTAAGTAAAATCTTTAATATAAAATATAGATATACAAATAGTAAAAATAGAAAAAATTAGAAAAATATATATTAGAGAAATTTAACATATAACATATACACATATATGTATTTATGTATACAAATCTCCTTTATTTTTTTAAACTAATTCTCTACACAAATCGTAAGGCATATTTAGGAGTTGATATCAGTTTACTTTTTTGCTCTCACTAGAATAATATTTCGGCAATATGTGTCTATTTTTGTCTCTCTCGCGCTCTCTCTCTATCTCGTTTGCTTCCTTCACTCTCTCTTTCATATTCATCAGTCACAAAATTTACAAATTTCACAACATAAAGCTTATTTTCTTATATACAGAGCTCAGACCAGTGCGAAGCAAAGTGCTTAAATTTTTTTTTCTTCCATCCGCTTTTTTTTTTTTTGTAATGCCAAAAAAGAAGCAACAAAAATAAAACAACAGCAAAATAAGAGCTCAAAATTTATTTGCAAACATTTATTATAGTTACTTTGTTTTATTCTCGTAGAGTACTTTTGCTTGTTAGCCACAGGAGACGGGGCGAGGGGCTTCTACGTTTGCTGCTGCATTGTTTTATAGTCATTCAGTGTTGTTGTTGTTGTCGTCTGGGTAATGAAACGCACCGCAAAGTTGATAAAAAGACGACCACAACGAAATACGAAAAACAGAAGCAAACGAATGGCCAAGGGACAGTGGAGGGGAAGTGGGGCCAGAGCCCTTATTCCTGATCGTTTCGGATGGGGGGAGGGGGCGAGCGAAACAAATTAGTTTAGAGATAAGCAGGTTACAAAATATGCCAAAGCATACTTTCTGGCGGGCCATCAAACAAAGTGCCGCTCTTGATTAGCCCGAAGAGGCTTCACTTTTATGTGCAGCAGGGAGCAGGTTTGCTGGACTTTGGGAGGAGGGCGAGGCGAGAGCGGTAGAGGCGGGAGCCAGGCGAGGCGTCAGCTTGTGGGCAAACACAATCAAGCGGCAGAGACGCTCCGTGAAAATGTTGAGCAGCTGTCGATGGAAAATGCAGCGCAAATAGCACAAAACAAACACAACAAGCGACTTGCCAACGATTGCGAGAGAGAGTGAGAGAGAGAGGGAGGGTGGGAGAGAGTGAGAGCGAGATAGAGTGTTACAGCGAGCTAGCGGCGTGTCTGTAATGCGCCTTTGCCCGAGTGCACTGTAAATACCAAAGCAATTTCCACTGTAAAATTAACAAGCGCCAAACCGCAACAGACGTGCCTGCTCGACGGGGCAGCTAGTTGGGGAGGGGGAAGGGCGTTGGCCGGGTTTGGTCTCTGTGGTTAAGGTATTGGCATCTTCAGGCAGCCAACGAGTATACGAGTGTGTGTGTGTGTGTGTGTGTGTGAGTTAGTTACATGGCAGCATTTGGCAGCAAATGCTCAGCTCTGATGCAAGGCGCAAAATACATAATGAATTTTCTCACCCTTTTCTTAACCAAGTCGAACCACGCCTCTTCCCTGACACGTTTGGCTTGTTTATTTGCCATTTTTTCAGCCGTTTTTGTTTGGCCACTCACATACACACATACACAGAGTGTGCAATTAAGCTGCCTTGGCTATTATGCAATTGAACGAGCCGACTGTTTAAACAGTTTTTCCCCCACACACACACTCACATATGTGTACACACTCACATGCATAGACTCACACACAGACAACCTCAAGCCAAATTGTGCAAGCTTTGAGCTTTTGTGTGTTATTCTTGGTGTGCTGGCTATGCGGGCTCTGCCTTAACTAATGCTGCTGGTGCTCTTTATCAGCTCTTAGAGAGCTCGCATTGAGGATTTGGCTTTGTGATTCTGAAGCGGTATTTATTTAACGTTGAGCACTGTGAAAGAGCTTAATCGTCTAGCATTATATTTCGATGGTTCAAAATAATATATAAGCATCAACCTTTATCTGAATGTATATATGTAAATATTTTTATTGCACTATGAAAATTATTTCAACTTTAAATTACAAAACTTTAGAGCGCCATTAATAGCAATAAAATATTACTTAAAAATAAAACAAAATATTTCATATTATTTTTTTTACAGCTCATTTTTTAAATTCACATTTCTTCATTAAAAATAAAATTATTAATAAATTTGACTAATAAAATTATTGATATATATGTTCACGTTTAGTCCTATATAAAATTTAAAAATGTTCAAAGATAATTGTTCGGCAAGAATAAAATATAGAGAATAGAATAAAATAAAAAAATAAGTGTATAATTGAAGAAAAAATATATTAACAATTAAATAAATTAGTGTATAATTGAAAAAATAAAAATAAAAATATATATACATGTATATAATTATTTAAAAATCTGAATAGCGTGAAGACGGCTGTTTAAGCTTAATTTTGTTTCATTTAAGGTACATAAATATATATATATTTTTGTTTAAAACAAACTTATTTTATAAATTAGTATGTTACTTTATTAGCTCATTTAAATAATTAAAATATGATGAAATTAACAAATCGAAGTATTTTTCGCAAGCTTAAGGCCATATGATGTCTGGGTCTAAAATAAGAACAAGTATAAGCACTGCAAGCAGTTCAGTAAATTTATTTTCAATGGTACCATTTGCATATATATTTATATTTCCCGATTAAGACTTTTATTTAAAATATCTAAAAACTTTCCAAATAATTTAGCAATTGTGATCAAACCTTAAGCCGATCAAATAGGTTTATAGCCAGACCTCACCTGCCGCTAGATCTTTGAACATATTTAAGCCCTGAACTAAATAATAAAAGAGCTAGAAAATGTCAACAACTGTCGCCAGCTGTTGAAAAATCCATTTGAAATTAACAACGCTCGAGTTGCAAGAAAATGCAAAATGTTCGACTTGTTGAGGGTTATGTGAGTGTGCGAGAGTGTGCGAGTGTGTGTGTGTGTGTGTGTGTGTGTGTGTGTGTGTGTGTGTGTGTGTGTGTGTGTGTGTGTGTGTGTGTGTGTGAGTGTGTGTGTGTGTGTGTGTGTGAGGCACATAAACCAAGCTTTTAACTGGCCAGCAGGCACATACACCCACCCACACACACACACATGCACATCAGTTGG